TTAGAGGTAAAAAAGTTTTTAAAAAAAACTCTAAATTGATGAGATTTAAAGAGTTTTACAGTACAGTAAGTGTACGGTTTTGTAACTTACAGTATCAGCTCTTTATTCAGCACCTTTAGATCCACATAAACCTCAGGGAACTGTTACCTGCTGCTTCACTAAATCACTATCGATCCAAATATCAATAGTATTGATACCAGTATCGATGCTATTGCGCTGGTATTGGTATTGATCTGATACCAATACCAGCGCAATAGCATCGATACTGTTGTCTATCCTCTACGTAGCCTGCTAAATTGTGTTAAAGAAATAATTTTTTTAGACATACCTCAAACATGCACTATGAAAAATGTGGGAACCTTCTTTGTTGACTGTCATATCCATTTTATTTAGAGCCTAAAGCACATTTAAACAGGTTGACGCTTCAGGGTTTTCAAAAATTTCAGAATGCATGAAAAGCTGAAAAGGTGTGTGTTTTACTGCGTTGGATAATTCTTGTGGAAAGTAGAAATCTGAGTTATTTAGTGGTCATTAAAATGCATTCAGAATGATCACATTGAGGATTCTTCTCATAAGTGATGACGCACTGCTCTCCCCTCCACAATCTGCCTTCATAGAATAAAAGTATTGGTACTGTTACCGGCAGTATGCAGCCTGTATTTATTTGGCATTGGATCAGTGCCAACATTTTCAGTATCGCACCGCACTACTGCTTCGATTAAATTATAATCATGCATAGAGGACTGGTTTAAAAAAAACAAAAAAAAAAAAAAACACCACATGGTGTGCCTACAACTGTGGGTGAATGACACCAGATATAGATATCCATCTATGGCAGAAAACACTCTACAACTAGTCATCTTTCTTCCTTCCTTCTCGCCGCCTGTCTAAAGTAATCTTCCTTTCCATGTTTGTGCTGAACAAGGTGAACACTGACACCATAACCTACTGCTGCAAATGCACTGCTCCATGCAGGAATCCCCACCACATTACCACATTTACATTTAAAAAACAAAACCTGAAGAATAAACTCCCAGGAAAAACACTTAAGTTCATGTTTGCAGGGTTCTAAGAAACACAGAGATGTGATTGACAAGTGAAAGGTAACCAACCTTAAGACACATCCCTTTGAAAATTTGATCCTATTTTGGACTAGGAATTATCTCCAAAGACTGAGACAAAAACTCAACCGCACCTTTCAAATTCAAAAGACTTGAGCTCACCAGCAGAGTTGAGCAGAAACAAGTGTCAATATGTAGCACACACACCTGAAATCTACTGAATGTGCTAAAATAGTTTGCTTATTGCAGAGCTACAGTCAAGGATAGATGTAGCACCCAACATTATTATATAACATATTTTCACCAAAGCACCGTTAAATGTGGATTCACAGTGGGGGGGGAGGGGGAAGAAAAGGAAAAAAAGGGGAGTCATTTAGTAACTTTGTGAACCACATTTAGCTTCTACATGCTATGCAGGCATATACATACATTTCCAGGTTGCTATAGCCCAAAGTAGCAGTCACGGCACACCTAGGACGTGTATGTATGTGTATCTTATTGCAACTATACAATCTAGTCATCTACAGCACTTTCACTATTCAACTAGATTTCTAGAAACTAGAAATCCTAAATAGCTGTGTACTATTTAAATGTCTTTTAGACTTGTTAAGAACAGAAAATTACTCAGTAGGTTTATATGCATAGAAATATTTTCAATGCCCTGAAAAGACATCTTTTCATCATTCTCTTTTCAACTAAGTTTGCATGTGAAGGAATGCTTTTCTAAGTGTCTTTTCTTTCCCTCTGACCTAAAGAAGCTACTCTTACCTTTCATGTTTTAAAGTTGTTGAGACGTCTGTCAAAGTTGTTTTTTCTGCCGCTTTTCAATCAGTTTGTGCTGGGTGAGGTGTGATCATATTTGTACAGTTATATTTAGTCCAGTGGACGCCCATCTAGGAATTAATTTGGATCAAACAGATGGACTAGATGCTCAAGCCCGATTTTCATTGATTGTTTTGGGGCTAAATGAAGGCCATGAGTGGCTGACCAGATGAACTCAGAAAACAACGTCCATGTGCATCCAGTGTGTGGTGGGCATATTCTGTAGACACATGGGAAATCACAGTGTTGGGATAATACTGAGAATAAAAGTGTTTTCTTATTCTAAACAAACTATTACAGCAAAAATGTCCTCAATATGATTTTATGGAGCTTTCTGCAGCAGTGGATTCAAGTTAACAAAAGATAAAACATCTTCAAGAAATCAGACTTGCTGATTTCACTCTACAGGGTAGTTAATTATTTATCAGCATCCTCTGCTTCTTTACCCTCATAGAAACTTGGCTAACTTGCATCACATGCTGCTTGCATCCTTACTTCCAGCTTCATCCTCACACAGTAAACTGAAACCAGGCAGAGGACAAAAGCTCTCAATAAGATATGAAGTGCGTGACAATGCAAATGAGTTGCACATTTACAGAAGTCATTGCTCATTAAGAGTGTTTGACCGCATAGTAAAAATGCCCGATTTAATGAATCTCAAAATTCCTCAAGGATGCTGTATGGACCCAAAAAAAAAAAAGGAACAAACAAAGGCTGCTGCTAGAGTCAGAAATGGTGAAACATAGCTTCAAATCAAGGTTCAGAAAAAGAATCGGAGCTCAGAGCTACCCATCCTTCAAGCACATAATCACATCCCATCCACGCTAATGAAAGAATGAGGACAAAACATCAAACGGTATCCTGGTTCAAATGCTGCTGAAGCTCCCTGGAAAACTTGCAGCAACTTCACAGCGGGTGAGGAGGAGGAAGGAGATATGCAAAAGGGGGACATCCAAGTATGAATAGGAGGAGGGGAAGAACGAAGCCGCTACTGCGTTCGCCGATCGACTACGCAAACAGACGCACGTTTGTGCATATTTTGACACAAAGGATGTTAGTTATAGAAAACGTATAACATAAAAGAACTGTATGTTAGTCCTCAGCAGTTTAACACCTGAAGTTGTCACGCATGCGTCAAAAGAGGGAGCAGTTCTGCCACACTCATCCTACTCTCCAATGACGCCCATTAAAACACAGAACAAACTATATAAAAGCCTTTTAATGCACCTGAGAGCCGCTACAATTGTGTTTTCATCCATAGCTGATGAGGGGGTCACCTTATGACATGCACGTCAAGGTGTCTTACAATTCCCACTCGACTGTGTAATACTGTTTTGCACCATTATCTTCACACTCGCTTGTAACAAGAGAAAAACAAACAAAAAACAGCGGGCCGAATGCACGTAAGGGTAGGTATCGATGATATAATAGAAAAGGAAGACGATTATTTTCATGAGGTCAAACACAAGTGTACTGAGCTTTCAGAGTCACGCTCTCACTAGTACTTTGTGCTGCTCTCAAGATAAGGCATGAAGAGCCTGTGGATCGAGTAGTGGAAATAAAATACCCTAAAGCACTGACTTTCATTTTGCACTTTGCTGTGTGTTCAAGTTATGCTGTTTATATTATAATTTTCCTCCCCGCTGCGTATAAATTACATTTATTTTGTCAACATCATGTTTCTTTAAATGTATGACTATACGGTTTATGACGCAGGGTTTCACAGCGAGGTGCGGTTCTTGTGTGGTTTGTCTATGCTAGCATGTGCAACATTAGTCACTGAGGGTGTAACCTAACTCAAATTCCTCATTCATTCATTGTACCAAGGATTTTGTAAATGTGGGTGTTTTCACCATGTCACCCCACCTCATCTGGACGTCCCTCCATCTCAGTCACATGTCCCTTATACCCACATTCCTCTATCCATCCCACTCCCCTGCCCTCTCCCCCACCCAGTGCCCTGCACACTTTGCCCGCCTCTGGCTCTCAGACTCAATATCCTGAAAGAAACCCAATGTTCGTACTTTTCATTCCCTTCGCGCTTTATTTTTGCACTATTCGTGGATCAAATGAACCTTATGTCACCGTCTCTAGTTTTTAAAAATAAATAAAAAGGCGAAATTGTTCCTTCTTCATTGTGCTTTGTGTCTTTCCGCCATGTTAAGCCTTTTCCTTTTTTTGTTCTGAGTTAGAGATGTGTGAGTGCCCCTCGCAGCTCCCAAGAACCCAACCCGTGCACATCACAGCAAAACGTCACAAGTTAGGGTCTCAGGGAATGAGAGAGGTACAGCTTGCTCTTTTTTGGTCTGGCCTTTTCTGTGCAACGTACAGCAGATCATCTTCTGCACGAGCACTGTGGCTGAGACTGAAACAGCTCCCTCTATCCCTCGATTTGTGCGGTGCTCTACCTTAAGTCTCAGTTTTGCCCCTTAAGTCGAGTCTGGTCTCGGTAAAATGCACAACCCCCACCATGCGTTAACATTTAGCTCATCCATGATCACATTTACAAACAAAATCGTTATACGAGTCAAAAGATCGATATGCATCAGTAAGCACACGCTGAAAATGTAATATAAAACCTAACCATATATAATCTTATGATAACTGAACAGACTCATGCTGTGCACACTGTACTCTACACACCCAATCAGAAAGCACTTTACCATCACTAATCATAAGGATAGCTCTGCCTCCCTGTCACAACCTGACCAAACCTAGAATAATAATCTGTGTAAAACATCTTTGATTTTTTCCAAACCCCGCACTGTGAACGCATACAACAGCAGCAGCAGCCAGATGACTACAGCAGCAGAGACTACAAATTGACGCCAGTGTCTCACGCTGATAAAAATACACCCTTAACACTAAAAAAGTCCAAGCTCCTTACCACTTACTCCCTCTATGCCAGTGAGATCTCGTGACATGCCAGGCTTGTCAGTCCTCTGAGACCGCACCTGTCAATCATGCCGCCTTGACTTTATGGAGGGAAAGCTCATTTGTCAGGTCGCAGAATAAAATCTGACTACCCACAAGATGAAGAGGAGGAGGAATAAGAGGCTGGGAGGAGCGGTAAGATGAGATGCAAGGAAGGAGAAAAGAAAAAAGAAGAAAAAACTCACCCAGCTGACCAAGGTGGCGGAGGCTGCCGCAGTCTTCTCTGTACGCCTGTGCCGGTCAGCCTAGCAAAGGGAGAGAGGATGTAGCCGGGCACAAATCGGAGAGAGAGGGGAGAAAAAAAAAATGAATGCTGGAGAGAAGAATAGAGGAAGATTTTAGTGCTGCTAGCTCAGGCTTTGTTGAATGGATAATTCGGGCTAGCACATGAGCCTGCTCTAGCAGATTGCTGCCGTCTAGCCGTCTGCTGCTCAGACATGCAAGACTGTACCATGTGCAGCCAGAGAGAGAGAAAGAAGGAGACAGACATGAAGGGATAGATGGAAGGGAGGGCAGATGTTGGGTTAAAGATTTAATGTAGGTGAACATGGGGGAAAAAAGAATAGAATAGAAAAGCAGTGAGGGTGACTGAGACAATACATTTAGTATTACAGGGGAAGGAAAAATGCACAATAATAAATCAAACACAATCCATGAAAAAGAAACTAGCATAAAAATTGAAAAAAAATATTCTTTTTAGCTTGGGTCCAACAGTAAAAATCACAAAAATAAACAGCAAGACCACAGTCCAGTAATGTTACATGTATGCTGACTAATACAAGAGAATAAGAGCAAATGACAGGAAGCCATACAGAGAGAAAAACAGGATTTTAGAGAGTGATAAAGTAATATTTTTAACCCCCCCCCCAGACGTCTGATTTTTAACTTAAAAGAGCTCTACTGCACTAAAGCGCACAGTCAATAATGTACAATCTCAGCTTTCCCCAAAGCTTCCCCCATATGAGTCACAGCTTTACATGAGAAATCAAAAAGAAGAAGGATGTTCAGGTTACCGTCAGAATTTGGCAGATCTGGTTAGTAGCTGTGGAAAAAAAAAAAAAAAAAAGACTGAGACATAGTGTGCCAAAACAGCGACAGGAGTGAATAATAGGAAAAAATGTGTAACGCCTGTTGCTGTAGTCCCTCTGCCTACTGCTGCTCAGCCCTTTCTCCATGTGACACTACTACCCATCTTTTTCTTCCTCTGTGTCTGTTCGTCTCTTTGCTTCATCTGTCTCATATTTTCTTTCTGCACTTGATTGGTGCTTTAGTCTCGCTGTATCACACCTCTCGGCCTGTGTCTGTGCTTCTGTATTTTCTTTCCCTCCTCTGCCTTCCATGCTTCATAGATTGCAGGCTCAAGTCCCCAAGGCTGAAAAACTGAAGAGCCTCTACTTGGCCCTTTTTTTCCCTGTTTGTTACATATAGAATCAAAACGGCAGTAGCAGTGTGGGAAAGGAACTAAATATCACCCATTCATTTCCCTCCCCACAGCTGAAATTACACAGACAAAAGGCCTAGTATATGGAGAAAGAGATAAGGGAAGGTAGAGAAATGAGGGAGAGAGACGTGAAGAGAACAAAAGCATACAGTAGCACAACGAGAAGGCAAAGACAGTCAAATAGGAAGTCAGTTTTATCTTACAATGTCTCTTTCAAGCTCCTTTTTCATTTAAGGCAAACAAAAAACAAAAAAAAATCCTGCTCCAGTAGCATGTCCAGTATTCTGTTCCTGTGTCTCTCGCCCTCTGTGTCTGTGAGTGACTGGGTATTACAGCGTGCGTTTCATGGAGAAAAGGAGGGTGGGAACAAGAGAAAAGGAGGGAGCAAGAGAGAGTGAACGCACCAGTTCAGGGAGCTTCAAAGGAAATGTAACTGGAAGCATTGTGGTGTGTGGTGGTCTTATATTTTATCAGTATTAGTCACTGTAAAGCAGTGGAAAAGGCTTGTAAAAAAAAAAAAAAAAAAAGGGGGGGGAAGACACGAGACAAGATGGTAGGAAAGCGAGACAAATGGGGAGCAGAGGGAATTACCAGGGTTCTTCTGACGGACAGCGCACAATAGGCTGAGATCAGTGACAGCAGAAAAATGGCCTGTGTGGTCCCAACATTATCGCCCCCCAACCCTTTCCCCCTGCTGGTTTAAATAGGTCATTCTTTTATTTTGAAGTCAATTTAAAAATAATAAATCAGGCAGACAGTTCTCACTTCTTCAGCTCTCATTTACATTTTGCTGCATTTCTCCCTGTATCATTAGAGCCTCATTCTTTTCTTCTTCGTTTTTTTGAATCGAAAATTCATTTTTAAGGCATCTCTCCTTGCTCGCGGACATCACATGTCACGATGTCTGAAAGGCATCACGTGCGCTTCAGTGCGGCAAAGGGTCCCTTCATTTATGCTCAGTTTTACTTCCACCTTGTCTTCGCACACTAACACGACAAGAGTCAACCGGGACTATTTATAGAAATTTCCAAAGACGACAAAAAACCTGCACAGATTCCACAGCGAGGGTGGGCCGTGTGTGCTGGGTGGGGGGCCAGTCAGGGAGAGCTCCTTTATGCCTCCTGCTGTATAATGTAATGCACTACCACATGGCAACAACAAACCACCGAGCACAGAAAGAAGTGTGAATACGCTTTTCTAGAAGAAGGGCGAGGGGGGAAAAAAGTAAGCAAGGATAATTAGGCACACTGAAAAACCCAACAGTCGATTTACGTTGTATCTACTGTAACTGAAAGCTTGCGCTCTTGCAAAAGCTGCCCCGTACCAAGGGCCCCTTCTTCATTCTGGCCCAAAGAGCTCCTTACCCCACCTCTTTCGAACCCGGTGGCCTTAGGACAGAGAGCATAGAGTTTAAGTGGAAACAGTCTTTCATCATCATGACACTCCCCGCACTACACATCTGTACACAGCAGCATACCGCACTACAGGAGTAGGATACCATCTCTAACCTAGCGGTGCTACATCCAGTGTCTAATGTATATTTACAGTTCAGGCTTAACAAATTACGTGCAAGTTAAATACTTATGGCAGGACAACTAAAAACTGTTTTTTACTCATAAAGATCCATATTTCTTAAACACCCCCCAAACAGTTAAAACAAATTAAATAACACTTTCATTAATTTCTTGTGTATGCATAGCTGGCAGCGTCTATTCCAACACCTTAAAGTGGGAGTTTAAAAAATGTAGTATCCAACAGAGATCAAAAGTATGTAACGAAAATATGCCTGAAGAGCAGATAAAGGTCACACGGTCTGAGATGAAGCCAAATTTAAGTAATTCAGCACATTTCTAAATTGCAGTCAGGAACCTAGATAATTTCAGGGGCCTGTGGTTTTCTTGGTTTGAAGCAGCGAAAGTTGTTACTGGCTGTTTTGATCACAGCAGTGTCTTTACCACATAGCTGCGCAGAGGAAGTATATCGTTTTGGTTAAGTGAAAGTGAACTTTGTGCATAATTGGCCGCCAAGACCTCGTTCTTCCCCTGCGGCTGTATGGTGTGTTTCCCTTCAGTGACATCTCCTTCATTAGAGTGTCCCGCAAACATCACTGCAGCAGCAGCATGCTAGTGCTTTTCCTCATATTTTGAAAGGATTTCTCTTTGCCCCCCCCAATCTGTGCTGTCATTGTTTCAACTTTGTTTTCCAAGTGTCAAACGAGATGCAGTGTTTGCCATGTTCATGCGAGTCTTTAGCAAAATATCTTTATCTCTTCCCATATCTGCTTAAAGGAGAAAACGAAAAACCCAAAAACACTTTGAATTAAACAGAAGAAATTTCAGTGTATTAAGAAACAGACACAAAACCACCTGACAGAGAAGCTTTGTTTACAACCAGGCGATAAAACTCTCATACACAAATATTGCACAGATGCTGGCGTTTATGAAATAATCCATCAGTGTACAGATTGTGTGGCGTTTCCTCAGGGAAAGCTAGGAGGCTGTACAGTTATCTCCTGTGGTGTCACTCTGAACTATACAACCTACTACCTCAACCTGCGGAACACTGAAGCTGCAGCATGGCTGCCTTGTAGGGCCGGGCGAGCAGTTCAAAACTACCACAAGCAATGTAATTTTATTTTATCAGAAACTGAAGAAAAATTTCACCAATAAGTCGTCCTCCTTACTTAACTGCAACACTGACGTAGAGGCCAAAGATAGTCTGTCATGTACAATGTTCTGACACATCGTCATTTAGCCCAACCCACAAATTTGGGTGGGGTCACTGCATCGAGGCGGCACACGTGGGATAAGTTTGGTAGAGAATATCCTGCATCCTAGGATACAGGGTCACGTAGGGTCAGTGCTGTTTAATTGTGGGAATCAAGGAATAAGAAATGACACTCTTTATGGTTATCCAGTCATAACTTGCTTCCAAAATAATTCCAGTGATCTAGTCGCCTTTCTTAAAAGCACTGGGCAGATGCTGTTTTTACCAGGAAGACACATACCTATAGATACGAGCTTGTGCAGCCAGTCACCACAAGTTCGGATCTACGGGTTCGTGGCAGCTGGCATTAACACTTTAAGAGCGGATAAGAAGCAGAGAAAACAAACATTTAAGCATACAACTCATTCTACTGTCTGAAGCTTTCAGCTCCACTGATTCATCATAGCATTCTTACTGGGTGTTCAAACCACAATGGACAACACTGTAACGCTGATAAGGCTCAACATGGCACAGCTTTCATTGCATGTAGGTCTTTCTGCAACTAAAATATGCATCAACATTAAGAAGTTTAGTCTATTTCAGCAATATTTAAAGAATAAATCCACGCGTTGAGTATCAATCCTTTCATGCATTTTTCACTTCTTGTACTTATTAAGATTGCTTCAGTGTGGGGATATACAATGTGTCCTTTTTAAGCATCTAATAGAGATGAGTGTGGAAATTAGGCCATGGTACACAGAACAGGCCGGGGCACATGACTGTAATAGATGCGGTGTTTGTGTGTTTACCCCACTGATCACATTCTTTTGAGGTATAATTTTGAAATGTCAGAATAGTATACTGTAAATAGTTTTACATCTGAACACAAGAATGCACATCGCTAGGAAATATTTTACTAAAGAAAATGAATTTGCACTGAATAAAAAGGCATATTTGCGCTGCACGAATTTTATGAAATATCACACTATGATTAAAATAACAAGTACCACGTCTCCAACAGAGCAGCAAAAGCAAATGCTACAACACATCCAGCACATGCGGTTATATATTCTTAAGATAAAATAAAGACAAAATACAAATCACATTTAATCGCTCCGCTGCCAAATACAAAGTATTTTTTATTATAAAAATAAAAGTGATTCTTATTTGCAATGACCTAATAAATTAAATTCAATAGTGCAATTCTCTGGACCTTAGAAAATTTTCTAGAGAGAAGACATAAAGCGAACACCATCGAAAAATAAGCAAAGTTTAAAAAAATAAAAAATCACGCACGCGTCACATTGTGTGGGTTAGACCCTATTTTGAACCGCTTCCACAAAAAGAAAACTAAGTTTTGTAAATCGCCAACATACCAGTAAGGCATAAGCTGGACCTGGTGGTCAAACGTCCTCTACACTCAGATGAAGTCAGGCTCGAAGAGAAGTGTAGGCCAACGCTTTAGGAGAAATCAAGAAACCTAAAATAAAAATGTAGAAAAAACCCAAAACAACAAAAAAGAATGTAAATCATCAGAAACTGATTGGGAACAGAGCAGCAAGTCTAACATTCACAGGGAGTATACACCCGTTCACACACATTCCCAAAACCACACAAACACGTGGTGATCCAAGCACACCCTTAAAACACAAACGACTAAAAACTATAAGAACAATAACGCTAATAGCAGAAAAAAAGAAAAAAAAAAACGCTAAATCACAACCGAAAGTAAGAAGAAAACATCCCCTTGTTCTCTCCTAGTTACGCACTCATAACCCGTTGTCCAGTCCCCATTTTCCAGGGTACAAAAACCTCAAATCGGCTTTTAAAAAAAAAAAAAAAAAAAAAAAAAAAAAAGGTACGGCAAGAGAGAAATGGCAAAAGGTTGAATGCGGTAAGATGTGGATGAGGAGGAGTGGCAGCGCAGGGCTGGCTACAGAGAAAGTGGAATTTCTGACCAAGCAAAGGAAAGGGTGGTGTTTTCTTTTTTTTGGTGCTTCATTCTGCTTGGCTTTTTTGGATCCCAGCAGGATCCTTGGCTGCTGCTCTGTCTCTTCTTAGCGCTGCCAAAATATGGACATATCCCTTTGTCTTGAACTCTGTTACATTAAAAAAAAAAATCAAATTGAGAGATGAGAAAACATGACTTTAAAAAAAAAAAAAGAAAAGAGGGATTGGACCGGCCACCAAAACTACAGCGCAAGTTATTAAAGAAAAGGAAACAGCATGAGTGAAAAGTGCACAGCAAGGAGGAGAGAGGCTTAGCAGCTGAATTCAAGGGAAACGAAAAAAAAAGGAAAAATTCATTAAAAAATAAAAAGTCGAGATGGAAGGGTTTTGTTTTCGCGTCAGAATTTTTTTCTCTGCAAACATAATATCTCCCAAAGTGCAAGCTGCAAAGTGTGTCTTCTCTGCTGCTACAAACACAGCAGCCGAAACCTTTCTAAAGCTATGCCACGTAGTGAGAGAGGGAGAGAGAAAGCAGCCACTTTTTGCTCTCTCCAAAATGGCTGAGGGCCGGGAGAAAGCAGCTATGAGCAGAGAGGAAGAGAGGTGCTCCCCGTCCTGCACAGGGGTGGGCTGGGCGATTCAGCGAGCATCTCTCCCTCGTTTCCCTCTCCTCACTCGTGCCCTTTGTCCCGTTAGCCGTCTTTCACACCGGACGAATGGCGTACAGCTGTGTTGTCGGTCCATAGGAAACTCTTTTCGGGCCACCGTGGGGAGGGGAAAGCTACAACTGTAAATGAGTGAGGTTCATGTGGTTTACTGTTCGTCGTGCACATGCTCGAATCCTGATGCTCTGCAAGTTGTTATTTCTTTGTTGCTGCTGTTTTTAAAAGAAAACAAAAATTCTCTCAGATGCCTCGCAGGACAGGTGACTTTTGCTCAACCACTATATAATTTCTATTTTAAAAATATGTGCATATCAATAATGGATATTTTATTATATTATATAAATTCAGTGTTTTTAAAAACAAGATGTAATCTTGTGCTATATTCTCACTTTTATCGTCTTGAATCCCAAATTTCAAATAAAAACATCACTGATGATCTTGAACAGTCTCCTCTCGTGACTATTTGAACTCAGCACCACTCTTGACGTCACAACAGTACAGTAGTTAAACAGCGTGGCTGCTGCAGTCGGTAGTACTACATTTACATTTGGGTATTTCTAGTGGCTGTTTATTGGCTGCTTGCAGTCACGATGCATAACAAGCACTACCTATCTGATATAAAGCCAAAATTCTACTAGAAACATTCAAAAGGGCAAGGGATTTTATTTTCCAGACATATTTAATAACCAAATTAGTAAAGATGCTGCAGTTATTTTAGTGAAGCCATCTGAAAATTTTCCGGGTTAAATCTATACACTTGTTTTTAATCACTCACAGCAATAAGGTTTTTCTCTCATGCGTCTCAGCAGATGCGCGTCTACATTTGTTTTACACAAATCATATACATAATATACCCAACATAAATCTGAGGGACTGACCTCCCAGTGAGGTCATCTTCACCAGCACTGGAAGAACCATTTCAGATTTTAAAATGGCTGCCTCACATTCTTGCTCACTGGAAGCGTGTTCAGTGAAGCTCATACCAATAAGCAACCACCCAACCAAAGTTTCCTAAAGCAAGAGATTAGAAAAAAACCTGCTGCTGTATCTGACCCTGACCTCTGCAGAATAAGCTAATTTAAAAGCAAAATTTAATCTGGTAAAAACTGCACAGAAAGCCTGAGTATGCGGCATTCTTAAAAAAACGACAACAAAAAAACCCCCACACACACAACACACACACGGATCCCCTCCATGCATATCAGCTTGTTAGTGTTATGAAAAGGGACAAATGTTGGGTTCAGGATATTAACTGCCCTGGATACTAGTTTTGCCACAGCATGCCAATGGGCTGCTGTCTGCTCCATGGTCACCACTTGAATCTAAATGAACAGATTTGACTTTCAGGATATTGCCAAGAACCCTGTCACGGTGCCGACACAGAGAAGGGCCTCTCCAAAAACAGAAGGTTGGAGAAAACAGAGCGACCGACATGGGCATAACCCCAAACCTCTAACAAGGTAACCCCTTAAAGCCACTCTCAGAGCCTGGGAAAGTGGGGAAGAGAAAGAGGGCTGCCAACAATGGGCAAAAAATCATTACCAACATTTTTCATATGGTAACATTATGTCAGTGAATGCAGTGACAAGTGCGCTGCATAATCCAGGTTTTAGACGCGTAGATTAAAACTGGATTTCATTGTTTTAATTAGATTTTGTGACCTTTTAACTGACTCCTTACAATACGTGCCCTTATTATTGTCCTGCTGCACCGGTCTGTCAGTAGCCTCTTTGGATGCTGTACATCCAACCAACTTGTATTTTCCACCCCAGAAATGAGGCTTTTATTAATACATAATGACCTTTTTTTAAACACTACTATAATGGCATACTAGCTATAGCTCTTGATATCCACTGGGCTTAAAACACCATTCAGCATTATAATTGGGGTGTTACTACTGAACCTGTAGGATTATTGAATCAAAACTTCACTGGTTTTCTCTGTATTTTTACTCCATTGTGCATTTTTTAAGACAGGGCCTTAACAGGCTGCTGGAGTTTAATCTCATTATGAGCTTAAAGTATGTAAAATACCTTAAAATGCATGAATATTTACACATCACAGGGGGTATTTATTACTCAGATCACTCAGGATCATGATGCACTGTTTAAACTGTTATTGCATCCATGTTGTAAAGCCAGAGCATTTTTAAGATGAGCTGTAATATTTTTATTTGGAAAGAATGTGCCGATAAGAACACTGAGACATGAACAATACCAGTGCTACCTTTGAATTCATTACGTCAGTAGACTGAAATGTAAACGCGAAACTCTTCTGGGCTTAATTATTTATAATATGTTTAACCATTCAAATGTTTAAAGGGACAGAATTATATACTGTGTATTTTTCAAATATTGATATGTAGAAGATTACAGGAAAGGCAACGTCAATAGTTCACTCGTTTTATTACTTCATTGGTAAATGTCTAATCATGTTAAGGCTATGATTCACAGTCGAGTCATAGCTGCGTCTGTGATAAAGAAGTTTCTACAAGAACCTATATATCACCCTAAGTTACTCCTGTTACTGGCACTAAGTGACTTCTTGGCAGCTAGTGCTTCCCACAGTAAAAGGATGGTCCAGTGATGTCAGCCATGATTCTTGTCATGTCTAATAGCATTATACATAATAATGATCCTTTCATGAGTACCTAAAAATAAAAAGTATAATAGGTGATTTTAATTTTTTGGATATAGCAGTCAAAATATAAAATAACCCCCCCACTCCAAGTGTATTTTCTCATGAACTTCCACAAACGTGCAGTTCAGACTGAGATTTTAGGTCAAATCTATATATAAAAGTGAAAATCAATGTTGTGTAGGATTTATAATTTGGTTTGGTATAATTGTTAAATGATGTTACAGAACATACTAAGCTTACTCAAGTACATACATTCATGCAACTCTCATGTTTTAAGCCCCCCAAATGTTGTCTTTTTTGGAAAATTATTGCTGGTTGAGTCAAATAAAAGCAGATACACAAGAGGAAGTTAATAGAAGTTAATAAAATAACTTGATTAAAGATGTGCAGATGATTAGAGAATTTGTCATAATTTTCACAAGTGTTTTATATGACAGTTTTCGACTTGCTTTACTTAGTACCCACAAAAATTAACTGTTCGTTCTCTGCTTTTGTGCCTGAATTTTTGTGGTTTTTCATCTTTGAAAAATATAAAAACTTTAACATATTTAGCAATAACTATTTATCACTAGGATGCATATTTCAGGTGTCCGTGAGGACGGCCTTCATGGCGAATTCATCCCCATAATCAACCCAGTGCAGCAGGATGAATGTGGAAAAGACGCACTCATGCAGGAGAGAGCAGGATAAAGAACCAGTGGGATACATGAGACAGCAGCATATATTTTTTTACTATATTTTTTCCATTCACACTCGTACATCTTTGCTTCTGAATGTTGCAGTCCAATTTTTATATCTTTTCCCCCTTTCATCTCACCCATTTCTTTCAATTGCTTGTCCCTCACTGTTCCCTCCTCTCGCTTTCCCCATCAAATATTCTGCTCACGCACAACTGCGGCACCCTTTCTCCAGTCCTCCCCATTAATCCACACCACAGACATCTTGGCCCACTGTCTCGTCTCTCTGTCAATGTGCACTCAAAAGTCTCAAAGTCTGGGCCATTTCAGCAGAGAGTGCCTGGCCGTTTTTCGCAGGCTATGAGGCCTACTGTTGAGCATGCTTTTCTACTGTACAGAGTGTACCGTGCAGACAGGACATCAAGCACTCCCCCTCTCTAAATATGCTAGAAAATGAAGACGACATCCCAGTGAAAGCGCAGGTCATATCAGGACAGGTGGCAACATAAATATAGCCTCCATTTACTTTCATCACCACATAAAAACTAGTGGCTTGTTGCAGAAATGTTGGCGATATGTGGCTTTCTCTGCCCCGTTTCAGCCAGTTTCTAACACATTGAAGACGTAAGCTTTAGTGCAGAAAACTCAATTGCTGTCACTGGAAACAAGTTTATAAAGAGTTTCGGATTTGTGATGGACGGTGCAAAAAAATGTTCCTTCATTTGTTTGACTTTACTGCCTTCATAGTGTGAATCATTCAAAAACAAAAACAAAAATTTGTTTAATTTGCACTTTGGTTTTCACTTAACACATTTAAATCAATGCAGATTATAAACTAAGAGTCTTTGAAATGTGACATTTTCACATTCAGTGTTATTATTATTTTAATAAAAGGTTTTGACACATCTTCAGTTGGTGTAATCATGGTTGTACACCAGTGTTTCACCATTGTATACGTCAGCCAAAGCAGAACTGAAAAACTACCCAATGTGGCTTCTTGAAGATGTGCAGGAAGAGATACAAAAAAAGAGCAAGCACAATGACATAGCAGGGGTAAAGGCTGTAGGAAGAAGAAAAAGATGTAATTACTCTATTAATTACTTAATTTCTATTCATCTGAAGGATCCACTGACTTGAACTAATCACTTTAAGAAAGCAGCCAAATGCTCAATATTAACACATCTTCTGTGACAGGAAGACGAGTGTGGGGCCTGTGAGGGGGGGTGAAGAAATGCAAAGATTTGCAGGGAAATCAAAGAAAGAATTGCTCTTAGACCCGCAAAAGGAAGGAAGCAGCTCAACGTGGACAACATCAAGGATAAAAACTCATGGAGTCTAATTTCTTTTTTGCTACGTGAAGTGCACTTGTTCCTCCCTTTAAAGTCTACTTTTAACTGGCAGCGCACTGAAGCAAAATGAAGACTGATAGAAACAGCATTTTGAGATATTCCAGAGTATAAAAAACCCTGGCTGGATATTGAGTTTACCCCCTCCATTCTCCTCTTTTTCAGAAATAAGGGCTCAAGTTAGATTTTACAGCAGAGCTTAGAAATAGTACACAGCCCCTCATCAGCCACCCTCCTCTTTTGCCGTTTCTTTCTTTCACCCTCCACTCCTGCCGTTTCAGACCCTCATTTCCCTGCCCTCCTTCTCCCCCCTCCTCTCTCTCTCATTCATTCAGTTTAATTTTGAACTCTGCACTGGGAGACAGGCAAAGAGGGTAGCTCCATGGTTACCTGGCACCAGGCCATCTCATTACACTGCCAATTGATTCTGGCCTGCCGCCATGTCCGCTGCCTACCTCCCCCACGCCCCGCACCATTTCTGCACCCCAGACTGTCTACAGCAAAAGGAGATTTCTGAACACACAGGACAGAACGAGACAAACAGCTTCACTTACGCACATCAAACTTAACTCGCATGGATGCACCACCACACGTACGGATACAAATAAATGCATACCTGCTCACACACACACACCGCAAACTAAAGATGGGAAAATACATGTGCGTATATTTAAATATTCATATACCGTTGGCCTCCACACAGTGTACAATCAGAGTGGCTATGAGAAAAAAAATAAAGTCATAATCTCATTACTTAGATTTTTAAATCCATGTGACTAAAAACTAAACAATCTTTATTTAATCATAGACACAATCCTCTTTCTAAATTCTGGTGTTCGCAGATAGAAAGACTTGAACTGTGAGGCGTAAAATCTAAATTCACAAAACATTTAACTGTGAGGAGTGATACCGCAATTTATAACAATAATCGCAACTTTGGAAAAACAAATTAGTGCAGCACAGATGTTAAAAACCAAAGAACTAATTTAGGAAAATAAAGTCTTCAAACCTGGTTGACTGGACAAAGTGTTGTCTGACACGCTGGCGTGGTTGAATTCACCCTGACTGCAATGACTTTGAAGTATTTCTCACATTTCTGTGTTCAGTGCAGTCAATAGAAAGCCAGAGTAAACCTTTTCTTAAGAAGCAAGCATTTGTATTTAGGTTTATACTGCAACTATAGCAAAATCCAATGAGTAACATTAACATTTTACAGAAGTGGAAGAAGCTAAAGAAGTGTATCTGTTTAAATCTTGTCAGTCAGACATTTGATTTGTTTGTCTCTGCTATTTCTCTAGGAATTTTTTCAGGAACGATGTTTCCTGCTTAATTTGATACTAGTTTCCCCCAATCCTGACCAATCCAACAAGTTAGACACATATTTTAAAAACACGAGCATGGGAATCCAATAAAAAGTCCTGTATGGGTGTGTAAAAGCCTTCGTTTGGGTTTAGTAATCGCCACAAATCTTTTGTATTTGTACGACTTTAAACCGCACCTTTTAAATGCTTTTGCTAAATTTGAGTGTGATGCTTGCTTGTTTACTTCCATCTGAGACATATGCAGTATCAACTTAAACACTGATGGTAAAAAGAAAGTCCTCCACAAAGATTGCATCTGAAATCAGCTGCACCTCCGCAACACATACCAGCAGGAGTACAGAGTGACTGACCAGGCGTTCTCTCAGGCATCTCTTGTCAAGTAAGGGCTGTGTGCAGGCAGGAGTGGTAGTAGGACCCAATGTGCAGACACTCGGAGGTGATAACACAAACTCAGATTTATTGCTAAACTCAAAAGGTAAAAAAAACTTGCAAATAAACGTACTCAGACAGAACACACAGCAAGAAGAGGGTATATCGCAACAAGAACAGAAGAAAACACAGGGCTTAAATACATAGAGGGAGCAATCAGGGAATGGGTAACAGGAGGGAAACACAGCTGGGGCAAATCAGGCCTAACGAAACAGGGGAAGCAAAACCAGATACATTAACATAAGACATGGACCTTCAAAATAAAACAGGAAACATAACACAGACTGAACTTACAGACGCAGGCCCTTTCTCAATTCTCAAGTACGCGAGTACGTACTCGCGTTCTCGG